ACCTTCTGTATCCATGGATTTGTAGTTGGTGGATTAAGCCAATCATAGATTGAAAAATAACAATACAACAATAAAAAAAAATTTAAAAACCAGTGCGGCATAATGTTCACGTACGTTTTACATTGTATTAGGTATTATAAGTAATCCAGAGACGATATAAAGTATATAGGGTTTTTTAGATACTACACATTTTATATAAAGGACTTGAACATCTGCAGATTTTGGTATGTGCAGAGGTCCTGGAACCAGTTGCCCTGCGGATGTTGGAAGAACAATGGTATTTTGAATATTAACACCTTAGCAAATATATGGCTTGCAAATGTTTTCTCCTAGTCGGTAGGTTGTCTCAGCAGTGTTATTTCCTTTGCTGTGCAAAAGCATTTTAGTATGATGTAATTTCATCTGTCTATTTTTGCTTTTATTGCCTGTGCTTTTGGGGTCAAATCCAAAAAAAAATCATTGCTCAGACCAATGTAGTTTTGGTTACCTAAAAATGTAGTTTTTGCCCTGTGTTTACTTCAAGTTATTTTATAGTTTACAATCTCATGTTTGTCTTTAATCTATTTTGGATTGATTTTTGTACTATAGATCATGTGAGTAAAGGTCCAGTTTCTTCTGCATGTGGATATTCCATTTGGAAATCAGAATATTGTTTGATAACATTTTGTAAATGAGTATTTTATGATAATAGATGGTTAGCACATTGTAAATGCAGCAATATTTTTCCAGCCCTTTTGTACATGTTACCTTATTGTAATTTTTATCTCAAGACAATTGCATGGCCTAGAATCATAAGATGATAACTAGAACTTGCATAGTAAATCTTTCCGTCATAGGTATATTTTATGTGTGACTTTTGCCAGAAATGCAAATTCTACTAAATATCTACATGTTTCCATCTGAGAAAGATGTATCATCTTAGCTAATGATTCTACCTTATTGATATCCAGCTGAATTGTCAGGAATCATACCATTCTTTTCTGCCCTTGAGGGCATATGATCTATGTGACTTGTTTGTTTTTTTTTTTGAGACAGAGCCTCAAGCTATCCCCCTGGGTAGAGGGCCATGGCATTACAGCTCACAGCAACCTCCAACTCCTGGGCTCAATCGAGTCTCCTGCCTCGGCCTCCCAAGTAGCTGGGACCACAGGCGCCCGCCACAACGCCCGGCCATTTTTTGGATGCAGCCATCGTTGTTGTTTGGCGGGCCCGGGCTGGGGATTCAAACTGGCCACCTTAGGTGTATGTGGCTGGCGCTGAGCCATCTATGTGACTTGTTATGTGTTCTAAGTTATATGATCTAAGTCAGGGGTCTTCACACTTTTTAAACAGGGGGCCAGTTCACTGTCCCTAAGACCGTTGGAGGGCCGGACTGTGGGCCCTGGGACAAGTTGACTGCTAAGCAGGACAGGCAGTGGCAGCAAAAATACCTGGCAGGCCAGATAAATGTCCTCGGTGGGCCGTATGTGGCCCAGGGGCCATAGTTTGAGGACGCCTGAAAGTAATCTCTGTGATCTTAGATCTGTGTGATTTAAGTATATGTTACCTGTATTTTTATTTGAAATCTTTATTTATTGATTTTTACTTTGAAGATTTTTTTAACCAAGAAGAATTTTACTTTCATTTTTTACAAATTTATCTGCTTAGTGCATTCTGAATACAGTTAGTTTTAAAGCTATGAGAATAGTAGTGCCTTCTTTGGAATGCAGTTATCTGGATGATAAATGTAGGTACTTCTTTCTGAAATGTAAACCATGAACTGCGTGGAATTTTAGAAATGCCCTTTATTATAGGACTTGTCAGGGATGGTATTCCAATAAAAAGTAAATCTTGGACTTTTAATTTAAAAGGCTTGATTTGGGCTCGGTGCCTGTAGCTCAAGCGTTTAGGGTGCCAGCCACATACACTGGAGGTGGTGGGTTTGAACCTAGCCCAGGCCTGCCAAACAGCAATGACAACTACAGCCAAAAAATAGCTGGGTGTTATGGCAGATGTTATGGTAGTCCCAGCACATGGGAGGCTGAGGCAGGAGAATCGCTTAAGCCCCAAGAGTTTGAGGTTGCTGTAAGCTGTGACGCCACAGCACTCTGCCGAGGGTAACATAATGAGACTCGGTCTCAAAAAAAAAAAAGGCTTGATTTGTCAGTTGTATGAATAGGCCTAAATAGCCTTAAAAACTTTTTTTTATGGTATCTATTGAGTTAAAGAAGTTCTATTTACTTCAGATATAGGGTTTTTTTTTTAAGTTTAAAATATTTATTAAAAAGGCTTTTTAATTCTATTCTATATGAACTAGATTTTCTGATTAAATCTTGGGGAGTCTGTTTATTTTGTTTATATTGTACCCTTTTTACTGAGTAGTAATTTCAGAGTGAATCCCTTGCATAACTGGCCCAAATATATCTCAGTTTTAAATTGTATTTACTTGGTTTTTGACCTAACTAAGTTCCTTCTGTGAAGATGTATGGGCCATTCATTGTTGGGAATTGAAATTTATACATTTGAGTTAAACATATGTTGAGTAATAGGGTCTTTTATGTCATGTTAGTGTATGACTTGTTTTTGGAATATGCAGTGATCTTTTTAAAAAATCAGATTCTTTGAGGTATAATTTATATGCAGCAAGATGTCATTGTAAGTATAAAATTTGAGGTTTTTTCTTTTAAAATCAGCTAAATAGGTATAACTTTCATTAATGTTCAATGACTTAAAGTATTCAATTTAATGAATTTTTAAAACAGCTTCAAGTATAATTTTACATTTCATAAAATTCACATTTTATGGATACAATTTCTTTTAGTAAATTTGTATCATTATGTAGGCATGACCAAAATCTAATTTTAGATCCCTTCTATCATGTGAAAAATTTTCTCAGGCCCTTTTGCAGTCAGTCTCGCTTCTCAGGAAACCACCAGACTGCTTTCTGTAATAGTACTAGTTCTGACTTTCCTAGAAATTTCATATAAATGGAATCATAGTCTTTGGCATTGTGTTTTTGAGACCATTCATCTTTTTGTTGCTGAATAGTATTCCCTATTTTGTTTATTTACCAGCTGAAGGATAGTATCCAGTTCTAAACTATTATTAATAATTGTCCTATGCATATTCTGTATACATCTTAGTGGCTTTTACAAATAAAAATATACTTTTATTTTTCCTGTGAGGAATTGCTGGGCATTATGGTAAATTTATGTTTAACTTTCTAAGGAAACTGCCGAACAGACTCTGCTAGTTTACATTCTTACCAGTATTGTATGGGGGGTTTCAGTTTCTCTGTGTTCTGACCAATGCTTAGTATTGTCAGCTTTTTTTTTTGTTGTTGTTGTTGTTGTTGTTGTTGAGACAGAGTCCCACTCTATGCCCCTAAGCAGAGTGCCGTGGCTTGGTAGCTCACTGCAACCTCAGACTCCAGCTTGTGGACATCCCACTGCCTTAACCTCTGGAAGCCGCTGGGATTAGAGGCGCCATAGCACGCCGGCTGGGTTTTTCTATTTTTTTTCATGAGTTGGGGTCTCATTCTCACTCAAGTGAGTCACGTACTCCTGAGCTCAAGCAATTCTCCCTCCTCAGCCTCCCACAGCGTTGGGATTACAGGCGTGAGCCACCGCACCTGGCTGTCAGCCTTTTTAATTTTAGCCATTTTATTGTTTTATATAGTATTTCATTGTTTCTTAATCAGTTTTTTTTTGAGACAGAGTCTCACTATGTTGTCCTTGGTAGAGTACTATGGCATCACAGCTCACAGCAACCTCAAACTCTTGGGCTTAAGTAATTCTCTTGCCTCAGCCTCCCAAGTAGCTGAAACTATAGACACCCACCACAATGCCTGGCTATTTCGTTGTTGCAGTTGTCATTGTGGTTTAGCAGGCCCAGGCCGGGTTTGAACCTGCCAGCCCCAGTGTATGTGGCTGGCGCCCTAACCCCTAAGCTACAGGCACCAAGTCTAACCAGCTCTTTTGAAATAAAATTTCCATATCATACAATTCATCCATTTTTAAGCATGCAAATTCAGTCACTTTTAGAATATTCAGAGTTGTGTGGCCATCACCACAGTTTATATCATCTCCTAAAAGAAATGGCATGCCTTGGCTGGATTCTCCTACCTACCCACTCCTGACCTAAACAATACTCATCTACTTTCTATCTCTATAGATTTGTCTCTTCTGGATGTTTCATAAGTGGAATCATACAGTAAGTGCAGTATGTGCTTTTTTTTTTTTTTGAGACAGAGTCTCAGTTGCCCTCAGTGGAGTGCTGTGGCATTAAAGCTAACAACCTCAAACTCTTGGGCCCAAGTGATTATGGGCACCCTCCACAATGCTGGGCTATTTTTAGAGACAAGGTCTTGCTCTAGCTCAGGGTGGTCTTGAACCCATGAGCTCATGCAATCCACCTGCCTTGGCCTCCGAAGTCAGTATGTGGTCCTTTATGACCAGCTTCATTAACTTCCATTTCCAAGGTTTATCTTTGTTGTATAATAGCATGTATCATTTTTCATTTCTTTTTATTACCAAATAATATTTCATATATAGTTATATAACTTTTTATCTGTTAATCATTTGATGAACATTTGGATTTCTTCCACTTTTACCTATTATGAAAAGGCTGATGTGAATATTTCTTAAACAGTTATTTACTTTGTGTGCATGTGAATGCGTGTTTTCATTTCTCTTGGAATATACCTGGGAGTGCAATTGCTGGGACATACGGTAACTGTGTTTAGCCTGTTGAGAAATTGCCTGTTTCTAATGTGGCTGCACTATCTGATGTTCCCTGCAACACTAACATAAGTACAGTAGCATCGATTTTAATTGATGTTCATTAGAGACTAGGGGTGGTGGTGGTAGTGGTGCATTTTTACAACTTCATGCTAAGAAATCCTAGTTGTCTGCTTATGGAATTGGATATCATATTGAATGAACTTTGCTTTCCTTGTCTCCCCCTTGAAAACACCATAGACGTTCACTCTTGATTAATCATCTCATTTTTCTGTTTTACAGAGTAACAAAGTTAACCTTGAGTTTTGTGAAATACCAGAGAAGAGAAACTAAGAGGACAGTAGACAAGGTTTTTCCAGTTTGCATAATGTAAGTTCTTTTCACTTTTCTTGGCCAGGGTTCTGTGTTAGCTGACAAAGCTGTTTCTATGGAAACGAATAGCTGAACCTCTTAGAATGTCTGAGGAATGCTGATAACTTAAAATGAGACTTCCCAGCTGCTGGTCAAAGGACGTTCTTGCTAGAGAAGGGGAGAAAGGGTGAAATGAAAAATTTCTAGAGTTCTAGACACTAGTGTAAGATGAACATGTTTATGCATATGAAGTATACTCTTCTGTTTCCATCTGCCTTCAAATTAGATACTGCTAATAAAGGTAATTGTCTTCATGTTAACCTGTCTTGTTTCCCAGCTGGTTCTGTTT